GATATATTGATAAAGGAATTCCATTTAAAAAAATAAATAAAAAGTAACGGCTAACATTCGAACAAATTAATAAGAAATTAGTTTATATTGCAAGCCACGTTTCTTTTCTAATCTCACATTCCTTATCATCGACCAATATTTAAATTAGTTAATTTAGTTGCACAGCCGATTTAATCACTTGCTTATACCTTCCAAGAGACGGAATAATGATAAAAGATTAAGACCTATATAAAAGCAACGATCTAAGGCAAGTCGGACAGAAAAATTAATAATAATTGTATTAGCATTTTTTTTTTATATCACATTATTTTGACGTGCAAAAACCCAATTATCGTTAACATTATTATTTGATTTTAGTGTCAACTTTCTATTAATAATTGTTTAAAAACAACAGCCAAATTCATAGTTGCTAAGTAGAAAATACCTACTGTAAAATCGTCACAAGTCTACTAATAAGCTACTACTAATAGTTAAAGTTATAGTACCCACAAAAACTAAGTTATAATTAGTGAAACAGGCCTAGTGCGCTGATTGATCGCTAGTGCTAGATCCTCCATTCTGTTGTCCGATGACAATTATGCTGATTATAAAAGCAGCTAAGAAAATGAATATGCAACACACCGCCACTAGAAGCATTTTGTGCGAGAAAAGAAGGTTTTTCAGAAAGAAGAGAAGTGTGCGTGTCCAGAAGCTTCATTTTCTTAGTAAAAGTGCTCAAGAGTGTCCTTCAGATTGACAGGTAAGCTTTAAAAGTGACAAAGTACACTTTGGAAGTGTTCTTTTTCTATCAGTCTTTAATTTGTTTGTTTTTCTGTTTCATTGTGATATATTATAAAACATTATTATTGACTATTTTGGTCACAAAAATTACGGTCTTGATATGAGCTTTTGCGATAATTGAACTTTTAAGATTCGACATTAAGTCCGACCATAATTACCGTTACAATAAACACAATTAGAAACAGAAAAATAAAGCAAATGGCCATAAGAACCATTTTTTCCATCTTTGTGAGATAAAGTTAACAGACTTTCTTCCACCATGATTCGTTTTTATCATGACTAACTATTGTAAATGTGCTTGTAACAAACCTCATTCAACCAAAAACATTTAACAATTTAATCTTCTGGATGTTGATCTCCGACACTTTGACCGACAACAATGATGATCACTATAAACACAGCTAAAAACACTAAAATGCAGCAGATAGCTACAGCCACCATCTTGAAATGTCGCTGGACCTGGTTTTGAAAGATAAACGTGTGTATGAGTTATTCCTAGCACTGGTTGAGTCTTTAGTCGTAGCACTTAGCATACTAGAATGATTTCAAATTGGTTGAAATCAAATTATGTAATCAACCTATATAAGTCTCTCCTTTGAAGGTTTTTCATAGGCAAATCTCGATGCTATCCAAATCTGTTTGTTCAAAGAGTTTCTTCTAGGTTTCACTGAATTTTTAGATGAACTTTGCTTGTTCTGATGCACCAGCTCTACTTGTATTGCCATGCTACATCTAGCATTCGTGTTACATAAATTCGCACAGTGATATGAATTAGTTTTGTCCTCAAAAGAACTTCACTCGAAACGGCTTGTCCCCGCAAATATTCAATATAAAATCACGAGGTTCAATTTCGAGGCGGCATGTAACATCCCGATTTCGGAATGGAGAGCGAAGAACTGGTCTCCCGGTTCCCGACGAGACGGCGTTGTGGATGGGGCGCGCGCCCAGCTTTTCGGGATAAAATATTGATTCGGTAAAAACCCCGAGCGCCTACTATAGGTGGCAGAATGGCCGGTCTGGGTGCCACCGATGTGTGACGTAACACACATGGAAGTTTTTGAGATTTATATACTGATGGGCACTTTAAATATTTGACTAATGAACCAGACAGTTTACTAGTTTGTTTAATTTATAGCTTATATTGTTGTGTGATGAATAAAGACAAAAATGGACCCTGAACCCCGCTGTATGTCTATCAAATTCTGACAGCATGAAATTAATCAAATATGATTGCAATCAGTCCAAAGAAGTTTCTAGTAGTTATCACGTTTGCCTAACATTATCTACCTACAATATAATCAAATTTTTGAATAGTTTTTTTGAACTCCTGCTTTCAAACTGTACTTTGATTTAGATATTTGAACCAAATTTCTATTGCTTCTCCCCCTTTTCGCCACATCGAGGTCTATACGTAAAATCTAAAATTATATTTTTCGCCTGCACTTTGAGCTCACGCAAGCCGATCATTCAAAATTGGGTTACGGAAAGCTGAACGCGGGGGATGGAAAAAGAAGGAAAGAAATTAGGGGCGCGAGCTATCAAGTGAAAACAATCAAGAGTCAAGGCCACGGTGGGATTTTATAGGTGAATGAATTTATGGGGGAGGTCGCTAAAAATAGCTATAATCGGCGCTAGTTGAAACCTACTACATTATTCTGACCTTGTTCAAAAATAAAAACAGGTCTCATTCGTCTAAAGTTGTGTGGATAATTCATGTTGATAATGAGGCAACAGTTAACTATAGTATTTCAATTATCAACATGTTTGCCGCGACTTTTGGAGACATGCCATCTGTAATGACCCGGGAAAATAGACCCGTAATTTACAATGTTTTTACTGTAAACATTAAATGTAATCAAATAATCAAAAATTGAATCTCTAATAATTAACATCAGTATCAATAAATTGAAAATGAAACCAATAAAAATTGACCCAAATTTATTGAAATATCTAAAAAACATTTAATTTCTTATTATTTAGTCATCATCTAAATCAAATCCATAAGAATATTAAAAGCGAGGCCAAAGTAATTAAATCGGAGATTTATGGCGCACTTGTGTCGGTCTTCTTTGAGTTATATGTCCTCTCATTCGCAAGAATGGGAGCGTCTACTCCCTTCACTGTGCCAGAACCATTTTGCGGCGTCGGAAATGCGCACCTCCAAGAAATCCTCAAAAAAAAAGAGAAACGGCTAAGGAACAAACAATGGCTAGAACAGCCACAACTAACGACAGGCCAAATATATATTAGGCAACTTCAACCAAAAAAGGTAAGAACTGCTGGTCAATCTTAGCAAGAAAAGTCTCAAGACTCTAACCGGGTTTCTCTCGGGACATTGCAGACTTAAGAAACACCTGCAGAAGTTGAGGTTAGAAGAAGGTGACACCTGCAGATTCTGTAAAAACGGGGAAGAGATCTCACCATCTTCTGGGAAGCGCCCTTATACAGTTGGAAGACATTCCAGCCTTGGAACCGCTGGATATCCTAAAATTCCTCAAGGACCTAGGACTGGAGGGGCTACTTAGAGCAGGAAACCAGAACTTAGCAGCAGAAAAAGGGGTACAATAGATCAACCTTGGTCTCAGTGCAACTGACACCTCCATCAGAGGCCAAAGTAATTAAATCGGTGATTGATGGCGCACGTGTGTTGGTCTTCTTTGAGTTATATGTCCTCTCATTCTTAAACCAAATCTGTTGACCCCGATAAACCAAGAAATTGCGACAAAATTATTTGATTTTAAACAAATAGAAAAGGAAGGTTAATGAATGATAGATAGGAATTTCTCTCTGTGAAAACGGGGAAGAGATCTCACCATCTTCTGGGAAGCGCCCTTATACAGTTGGAAGACATTCCAGCCCTGGAACCGCTAGATATCCTAAAATTCCTCAAGGACCTAGGACTGGAGGGGCTACTTAGAGCAGGAAACCCGAACTTAGCAGCAGAAAAAGGGGTACAATAGATCAACCTTGGTCTCAGTGCAACTGACACCTCCATCACATACATACACATGAAATTTGTTTGGTTTTCCAGATGTCAAGACGTATTTCACCTGATGTTTCGTTTCCTATTTCAACTTTTTTTCTTAATGGGATGCTGGTAACCCATATCTTTGAAAATCTGTTCAAAGTCATATATGACCCAAGCATGTGGCAGGAAGGAACGCATCACATAATAAGAGGAGTCCTGGTCTGGTATACAGAACGGCTCCAAAACAGGGGATGGAGCTGGCGCTGGCGTATAAGGAGAACGACCAAAATCAGAACTAAGCATCCCTCTGGGGCTTAACTCCACAGTTTACCAGGCAGAAATTCATGCAATCCAGGCATAGGAGATTCTAAGGCTAGGTGAACCGAACATAAGCATTCTCTCAGACAGTCAGCCTGCTCTAAAAGCGCTGAACTCCCATCGAGATAACGATGGAATGCCTACACGACCTGGAAGCTCTGTCGTCAAGTCTGGGTTCCTGGGCATTCGGGGATCGAAGGCAACGAAAAGGCTGACGAACTGGCTGCACCCTACACAAGACAACCCGCATTTGGGATGTCGAAGTACTCTATAAAGACGGCAGTTGAAAAGTGGTTGACCCATTAACATCTCGAATTTTGGCAGTCCATACCTGGAGGAAGAAACTCGAAGGGGATAATTGGAAACCCCTCAAAGATGCTCAGCTGAAGTACTGTCAATAACGTGTTTTCAGATAAGACGGTTGGTAGGACTGGTAACGGGACACTGCCATCTTAAAGCGCACATGCAGAAAATGAGAGTCTACAATGGCCCAGCGACATGTAAATTGTGTGGTGAACATTTGGAAACCGAGTTACACCTTATATACGTCTGTGAAGCACTGACTCGCATTTATTTGGAGGAAAACAACGCATGAGAAACTTGTCAGCAAGCTGTTAGATCTCATCAAAGGGATGGAACTTACTTGAGCAAGACAGGAGGTAGCACAATAAGCCTTAATGCAAATCGAGGCACGAGCACGCCTGACCCCACCTTAAAGCAATCAACAAACCTACCTTACTGGCACTTTTATTTAGAAAAAAAAGTACCGTTTGAATAAACATCGTCTCATATGTATCCCAAGCCTACTACACAACAGTGAAGACTATGACGGCAATTTCAATAATCCTTTATCGCCAGTAAATTAAACAGATTTCAAACGGATATATTTGAAATTATCCCTTTTAAAGCTATGATAAAATGAGTATAAACTTACCAATAATAAACTGGATAAAGATGGCTTGGAGACAAATAATCGACAGTACGACTCTTCCCTTTGAGGTGTGCCGGTTATCTGAGGCCATACTGTGTCCTGAAACAACCAAATATTTTTCTACTTTAAGTCCAATTTAGAAACTTATCTATTAAAAAAAATCTTCATGTAAATTACCATATACTCGTAACCTAAACTAGGTTGATCCACTTCACCGTCAAGTATTTTAATTGCATTTTCCGTCCGACCGTAAAACCGCATTAGCACCATCTTTAATAAGAAAAGTTAGGCGTAATTTAAGTGAAACAAGATGGCGAATAAATTTTAATATATGTATATCGACGTCTACTCTCGGGAAATTTCAATGTTGTTAAAGTTTGCGCGGCGGAGTGTTTACCTCTGAGATAGTTTTTAGCATAATCGTATTGATATATTAATGAAAAAATATGAATAGTTTTGCATAGCTGAGCCAAAATAATAACAACAAACCTCATTAAAGTCAAATTACTATTTCCTCTCGTCTCGTACAAAAAGAAACAATCATATTAGTGAACTTAGTAGGGATAGGAAAATACATAAACTTCCTGACGTCTCGTTCTGGCTACAGCAAACATCAAGATTGGAGCAAATATTTGAGCCATTTACAAGCAGGAGATAGATTTTGGCCATATTTCAACTTTGTTTTGCTTGTTGTTCGTTAAACTTAAAATTAATGTGTGACTGTGCATAGTTTATAAATTTTTTGTTGAAAATCCCCTCGAGGAAACAACACGCAACATAATAAACATCCGCCAAGCAAGTTTCTCCGCACTCGAAACTTTTTAAACAAACCCAAGAAATATACGAGCCAACTTGTTTCCTCTAGTAGTAGTTAGGTTAGTTAAGGAAAAGTTACCGTCGCTCTTTCTATTTCGAGGAAAAAGAAGCCCCTTTGAAATTTCACATGATTAAAAGGCGACGAGTTTAAAAAGAGAAAATAAAACTAACTAAGTGGTCGGAAAGATGTACAGTAGTTGAGGGAGTGTTTTCGTTCTTGTGTTGTTTCCGTTTACGTCCCTGGGTGATTTACAATCCGGATCTAAGCTTCAACACTAAAAGTTCCTCGGAAATAAATTTTGACTTTCAACAATATAATTTCTAAAAAGTAGGGACACATAATCCCTTGGCTTTTAATTTATATGTCCCAACTATCCCTATCTCTGTTCATTAATTATTGGGTTATCCGATTCTAGCCTCGGCCTGTCAGCGTAAAGTCGTTGCAAAAGGGCATTTTTATCTTTTGTCGTCATCTAAAGCAGTAATTTCTCCCCTTGTGACCCTACACAACGTTTGGGGTCGCGACATATCTTATCTAGGAATGGTCCGGCCCGCCTAATCGATCTATCGATAAAAACAATCCCAGAGGTTTATAAATTTTGGATGTGAAGTGATGTGTATGTGTGTGTGTGTTTTGGAGGTGTCAGTTGCACCGCGATCCCTCCTCCTGCTACTAAGTTCGGGTTTCCTGCTCAAAGCAGCCCCTCCAGTCCTTGGTCCTTCAGGAATTTCAGAATATCTAGCGGTTCCAGGGCTGGAACTGGAATGTCTTCCAACTGTATAAGGTTCTTCATTCTTGAGCGACTAACGTCATCGCAGTTCAGTAGAAGATGGGGAAGTGTCTCTTCTCCGTTTTCACAGAATCTGCAGGTGCCACCTTCTTCTAACCCCAACTTCTGTAAGTGTTTCTTAAGTCTGCAAACCCGGTTAGAGTCTTGAGACTTTTCTTGCTAAAGTTGACCAGCAGTTCTGATCTTTTTTGGTTGAAGTTGCCCAATAGATCTTTGGCCTGTCGTAGTTCTAGCCATTGTTTGTTCCTTAGCCGGTTCTCTTCTTTTTTTGAGGATTTCTTTGAGGTGCACATTTCCGACATCGCAAAATGGTTCTGGCCTAATGAAGGGAGTAGTCGCTTCCGTTCTTGAGAGTCTGTCTGCGCATTGGTTGCCTTCGACACCTTTGAGTCCGGGCACCCAGAGAAGGGTTACTTTATTTTGTTTCCCCAGTGCATTTAGTTCCTGTAGACATTTCCATACTGTCTTAGAATTGATGACTGAGGATCTCAATGCTTTGATAGCTGCTTGGCTGTCAGACAGTATTACAAACTCTCGTTTCCGATAACTTCTGTTCAGGTTGAACTGCACGCATCTTATGATCGTATGAATTTTCGCTTGAAATATGCTTGGTGATTTCCCCATTGGCTTCGAGTATCTGGTCCGTGGCCTGAATACTTCGGCTCCAGTTCTCTCAGCAGTTTTGGAACCGTCTGTGTAACATTTGATGGTGTTTGCTTTAAGGAATTGTATAGATTCCATGTGTTTTTCGTACTTAGTTCGATCGAAACTGAATTTTATCAACAATCACGCCTTTTGGTAGAGGAAACGTTCTGCCAAGGTATGTTTTCCTTTGTAGACCTATCTTCTTCAGTCTGAGACATCATCCACTGCCAACCCGCTTCACTATTATGTAGAGTGGTGTGAGGTCTAAAATGACTTCTAGTTCCGCTGTAGGGCATGATCTCATTGCTCCTGTTATACAGAGACACGCGAGTCTTTGCACTTCTCGTAGGGTTTTCCTAGCTGTTACTAGCTAGGTTCAGCTACCGCTCCGTAGGTGATGATAGGTCTGACTATCATAGTATACATTGTAACACTCTTTTGTCGAAACAAAAGAATGTTCATAATTTGTGCTCGACTATTGCTCAGTGGTTGTTTAGCTTGGGGTGGTCCTTGGTGTTGGTACAGTAGAGAGAGGGCGCCACTAGTTTGTATAAATAATTTTGATTACCAAGGAATAGCCAAACTAGGCACTATTCCATTAATTAGTTATTGTTTAAAAACATAAATTCAAAAAAATCTGAAAAGGTAAAATAAATCCAAAATCCAATAGCTATCTGACATTCAACCCATTCAACAAAAACACAAGCTTTGGAATTCTAAACACAATTATTTATTAATTAAATGTCATTAAAAATTTGTGACAAGAAGGCGAACTGTTGTTCTATGGTTATGTCATTAAAAATTTGTGACAAGATTGGCGAACTTTTTTTTTTTGATTTAAAGAAAATTATTGTCTAGTATCCAAGTCTTTTTTTAAAAAAATCATTAAGCAGCTTTCTAAAAGCAAAACTTAATATAAGTATTGTAACATTTGAAATGTCACAAGAACATATTTAATTGTTCTTAATTATTTCTATGTGTATTGGATTCATTTAAACAATGTTTGAGAGTACTATTTCATACACCTAGCGACATCTATGATTCCTCTGACTAGTTTCCTAACCTAATACCGAAAATTATTTTATTGAAAGGTGGTTCGGTTTGCTCACTCTGTACAATTCGAGTGACTCCATTCGCACTCCAGCTGTTCGGGTACTGCTTTTTACCATATTAGGGTTATTTTTTTGAAAACCGGTAGCGCTGTCATTTTTATAATTTCGACAGGCTGGACAGAGGAAGAAAGACTGAACCACAGGGGTACTTTGGATTTTTCTTTCGATTTTATAGTTAGACTGAAAAGGTCGTCTCTGGAAAATCCAAAAACTTTGGTTTTCATTCTTGGCCATCGAGCCCAAAATTATATTAATTCAACTAGCCAGAGTAGTGAGTAGTTGTGCCAGCTGGAACGTTTCCTGAAAAATCAATAGATTGTTGATTTTTGTGTAAATTTTTGAAAGTGAGGTTAATTATCTGCCGTTCAGGTATGTAAATCCCTTTTTCCCTTTGATAAATGAGTCCTTATATTTCTTCAATCCGTTCAGGCAATTTGGGAGAGTATTAAGAATCCACGCCTACACTTCTGGGTGAAAATTTGACAAGTTTGAGACCATGCTGTACTGCATTTCCAAAGCAAGTCTGGGCCCCCTCTACAAGGAAAGTTGTGTCCTGTAAGAGATTGATCCCCGACCATTGTTTGATTGCCTTCCGTCAGTTTGGTGCTTCTGGATCTCAAATTTATGAAAATTTCCAAGGATTTCGTCCAGGCTTGTATAATTACTTACCTATGGGTCCCGTAACTGTGCCTTATTAATTACCGTTACCTATTATTATCTCTTTTCTACCGCTCCCTATCGATTAGCTTTATTAGCTAATTATTATCTTTATAATATTAATTACTGTTAATTATTATTATCTATTCCTTAGCATAATTAGCTAATTCATAACTGTATAAAATCAATTACCGACTCATTTACCGTATTGTAGTATTTAGCTAGAATAGCTAACTACAAATTAAATATAATTATCCATTCAATTAATTAATCATTATCATTATTAGATTTTTACTTTTATTATTGTTTTCTCAATAATTATTTATTTTCAATAAGTATGCATTATTACAATTATTGTAAATTTTGTTTCCTCTATATCGAGTACTGATCGATATAATATAAGTGGGTTCATTAATCTTTAAAAGGTTGATTTAACTTCTGATTTCAAATCAATAATGTGGTAGTTTGACAAGGTGAACTAATGTAAAATCTTTAGGTAGTCAAATTTAAGTTTTATGGTTACCTATTTTGAACTTTAAAGGTAAGAAGGTAAGAGCTCTTCCGGAAACCGTGAACCCTTGATTTCATGTAGCAGGTTTTAGATATTTATAACTGCCTAAGGATTATTTATTACCTTTCTGCATTGAATAAATTGTTTTCTATTGATTTGATTGACTTTGAGTCAAAAATTAAAGGTTAATGATATTGTGACTCCATCATTTATACTTAGGTAAATTTTATCATGGATATCTATTGATTGTTTTTAAATTTCAATCCTATTATACTTATATTAAGTTCTGCTTTTAGAAAGCTGCTTAATGATTTTTTTTAAAAAAAGACTTGGATACTAGACAATAATTTTCTTTAAATCAAAAAAAAAAAAAGTTCGCCATCTTGTCACAAATTTTTAATGACATTTAATTAATAAATAATTGTGTTTAGAATTCCAAAGCTTGTGTTTTTATTGAATGGGTTGAATGTCAGATAGCTATTGGATTTTGGATTTATTTTACCTTTTCCGATTTTTTTTGAATTTATCTTTTTAAACAATAACTAATTAATGGAATAGTGCCTAGTT